TATTTTGCTTACTTTTCTTCTTCATTTCACAACAGCTGGTGCCATTGCCTTCGGGTACTCAAACATTTTTGTCACTTCTCCGAGCCCTGAGAACTTGAACACCTTGTTTGAGTTTGTGTTAAAAGGTCTCAATGCCATGGGTTATGAGGAGCACCTTAGCTACCAGGTTCTGCGCTCTACCGACCCCCAGTTCAACAAGTCTGTGATGAGGGTTACAGTCACCAGGGAAAGACGGCAGATTATCCAGGTGAGAGTTGGATCAACGGACTGTCTTTTTACTTTGTTTTCTCTCTTTTGTTATATCATTTCACCCTTTTTATTAGTTTGTTAAGTGAAGTACAAAGTTAAGATTGCATAATACATATTTATGTGAAATTGAGTATTTTAGTATTTACTTTTCATATTATGGTTATTCTACTTTCACACACACACACACGTGCACACACATGCATACATGTGCGCGTGCACACACACACACACACACACACACACACACACACACACACACACACACACACACACACACACACACACACACACACACACACACACACACACACACACACACACACACACACACACACACACACACACTATCTTTTTTTTTTTATGTAATATATATTGAAAAGAAAAATTTTCTTCCCCCATAGTACATTGCTCCAGGAGAGAGCAACTGCCTGGGCCAGGCTGAACTCGTTGTCATAGATGAAGCTGCAGCCATTCCCTTGCCACTTGTCCGCAAGCTCTTGGGGCCATACTTAGTGTTCCTGTCCTCAACCGTGTCAGGCTACGAAGGCACAGGAAGATCTCTTTCTCTAAAGCTGATTGACCAGTTGAGGTCACAGGCCAAAGCAAGCAGTGCAAATGCAGAGAATGGGGACAGTAACACCAAATCAACGGAATTAGGAAGAGTTCTGCATGAGGTACAGAAAGATAAGAGTTTTGTCGGGCTGCCTGTTATATAAGAATGTCAATTATGCCAGTTGATAATTGCAACCATTGTCCATATTCTTCCCAAAATAATGAGTTATTCACATCTGTAGTTATTGGTAGTTCTTTGTTGTTAATATGATAAGATATATATGCATTAATCATGGGAATACAACCATAGTTAAGAGACTTTGATGTTAATCTTGAGGTACCGACAACATAGGACATTGAATTACAAAACCTACATCACATGGAACCACTGAAATTCTCCTCTCAGGTGACACTGGAGGAGAGCATCAGGTACAAGAGTGGCGACCCAGTGGAGAAGTGGCTCCACGATCTTCTCTGCTTAGAGGCTTCCCTACCGCAGGCCCCCACCACCATGCCCCCGCCCAGCCAGTGCCAGCTCTTCTATGTCAACAGAGATACTCTCTTTGGATATCATAAGGTTGGAAAATCCCTTTCTAGAGATTTTTTTTTTCTCTCTCTCTCATCTTGTTTCATGGAAATGTGGACATAAATGGCCTAAGATTAATTAGATCAGTATTCGTAGATTCTCCTTTGTAGATTTGCATCACTTGTATCAGGGAAAAGGCATACCTACTCTTACACGCGCATTTTCATGTAACTTCATGGAATAATAGCAAATAGGGATCTCACTGAGTTTCAGTTCTCATGAAACGAATATGAAATATATGCTAAGAAATAATATAGTTTGGACTCAGCTGACCATTCCTCATGACAATTTTTCTTCCCTAAAGGTTTCAGAAAAGTTCCTGGCACAAGTGATGGGTCTTCTGGTATCCTCACACTACCGCAACACACCTGATGACCTCCAGACACTCTCTGATGCCCCCGCCCATCATCTATATGTCCTGCTGCCCCCACAAGACATGGCCAAGGGAGACACTCTACCACCTGTCCTGACAGTTGTACAGGTGGGTTTTTTTTCTTGCTTGCTTCTTCTCAGGAAGGAATGTTTGATGAAATATTGGATGTGGGAAAGCTCAAAGGATGATGGCATCAGAGCATAAGTTTAACCCCTTGAATCGAGATGCTTCACTGTCTTCTTTTGGTCCAAAATACTGGCATTGGGCTTACTTGAGCAGCCACTTCGACGTATGTGTGACCTGTAGGCTGGGCGCACACAAACACTCATATGCAATGATAACACACCATGTCTTTCCCTTGCTATTCTATTTTATCTTTTTTTGTGTAAACGTTTATATATATATATTTTTTTTTTTCGCTGTTTCCCAGTATCTATATTTGGCATTTGATTGGCTGTACCCAGATGGCATTATACTGTTTTCCTTGCACAGACTCCATATCATCTCTCTAAGTAGTCAGTGCTATAACAATATGTAACATTTTGTTATTTGTGTCATTTTTTATTTGTTTTATAATATTCAAGTTTTCTGTAATACAACCTGCACCACTGTTCACAGCAGGAATAGAATCATGAGCATAAAAATAGCATCCTCCCTGGAGCCAGCACTCTTCCACATTCTCTAAAAATGGAAATAATGCAAAACCCCCTTCCTAAATGCCCAATGAGTCCAATCACCCTCCAAGAGCTTTGTGCACTTGTGGCAAATCATTACCATCACCCCAGCCTTCAGCTGAAATATGCATGACAGCAAGTTCTTGCCACCCCTGCCCTCAGCCAAATTCTTACATGACAATATGGTCACATCACACTACCTCCTCTTCCTCCTCCTCTCTCTCCTCCTCCTCCTCCTCCTCTCTCCTCTCCTCTCTCCTCTTCTCTCATCCTCCTCCTCCTCCTCCTCCTCCATTCTCCTTCTCCTCCATCCTCCTCTGTTTCTAATCTATAGTTTTGATATAGGAGTATAAACATTCGCAACCATCCCCAACTTCAATGCATATTACAGTTACAACTCTCCCTTTCCCCCTTTGTCTCCCTAGGTGGCGCTGGAGGGCAAGGTGTCCAAGGCCTCGGTGATGTCAGCCCTTGCTCAAGGGGTTAAGCCCTCGGGTGACCTTGTCCCCTGGACTGTCAGCAACCAGTTCCAGAACTATGATTTCCCGCAGCTGTCTGGGGCACGTGTCATTCGTATTGCCACGCATCCCAGCTTCCAAGGGGTGAGTCCTGCTTGTTGCTAGTAAGACAGACAGCAGATAAACAGACAGACAGACAGAAAGGCAGACAAACAGACAGAAAGACAGACAGTAAGACAGTCAGTCAGTCAGTTTGTGTGTGTTTGTGTGTGTGTGTGTGTGTGTGTTAATGTGTGTGTTTATGTGTGCATGTATTTATGTGTACGTGTGTTTATGTGAGCATGTGTTGAGCATGTGTGTTGTGTGTGTGTTGTGTGTGTGTGTGTGTGTGTGTGTGTGTGTGTGTGTGTGTGTGTGTGTGTGTGTGTGTGTGTGTGTGTGTGTGTGTGTGTGTGTGTGTGTGTGTGTGTGTGTGTGTGGATATCTTTTATTTTACTCAGATAGAGGGAGAGAGAGGGATAAAAAAAAAAATTGAGACTAACCTTTCCATTTTCCTCAGAAAGGGTATGGGAGTCAGGCACTGAAGCTGCTGGAGGAGTACTTCAGCCAGGCCTCCATGCACGCTGACTATGTGGACACACTCACACCTGAAGCCTCTCTGAAGTTAGTGCAGGATGATCAGGTAGGTTTCAGAATTCTCTCTGTTATAAGAACATGCTACTTTATGCATGGAGTGTTTTTGATTAACTTTCTTCATCTTTGTTTGTGAATAATTTGTATTCTTTTGGGATTAACTCTTGTTTTCTCATATCCAGTGTCAACATAATATGTAGAATTGTATTTTTGAATTGCGAATATATTTGTATTTTCTCTTTATGAAGGTTGGTTTGCTGGAAGAGAAGCTGGGACCCAACCACCAGTCTCCTCCTCTGCTGGAGGCCCTCTCTGAACGCCCACCGGAAGCGTTGCACTACCTTAGCGTGTCGTATGGGGCGACTCAGCAGCTTCTCACTTTCTGGAAGAGATCTGGATTTACTCCAGTTTACCTTAGGTACATAAGGAAGGGGATAAGTAATAAGCAGATGGACAGATAGAAAAAGAAATAAGTTTGTTGTCTCTTGTTTTCCTTGCTTGAGTTCATGATAAGTTAATGCTTTTTCCTTTCTTTGATTCAGTTAATGTAATTCATAATGTATTTGATTATGCAGATTATATTATTTTAATCAATTTGGATTGGAAAATGTCAGATTACCTAAAAAAATATTAAAAACATTTCACACTTTATGCAAGAAGTATTTGTGCTTTTATTAATATACAATAATTACCAGAATTATGCTTTACTCATGACTCCTAGAAACTCATTACTCAATAATAAAAAACATTAACAGACACATACTCAGTCAGGAATTATCTTCAGTCATTGCAAGTCAGTGTGCCTATCTGAAATGCAATCTCTTATTCCGTCCGCAGTCAGGTGTCGAACAATGTCACGGGGGAACATACCATCATCATGCTGAAGGTTCTTGGGGAGAGCAAGGAAGCACGAGGGGAGTCATGGCTGGCTGACCTGTGGTTCGACTTCAGGAAGAGGCTTGTTGCTCTGTTGGGCTGTGCGTTCAAGAGCTATGACTGCAAATTCGCCCTCAGTATCATGAGCAGTAGCATTTACAAGAGGAAAGGGGGAGGTAGGTTGAGGGTCCTTTTGAGAATTTTATGATGAACTCAGTGGTGTCAGGAATAAGAGTGCACTTGCTATTGTGCAGGGAATGATTTCAAGGTCACCTGGACAAGCGAGAAAGGAGTTGTCTTTGCTTCTGGAGAGCCCACTTATAGTTTATATATTAAAAAGACTTGGAGTTCTGCTGTGTTTAGAAGGCAGTAGCTCAAGAACCAGTAGCATTATAGCCCTAAAACACCTATAAATGCCATTGGCATGGCATATAAAGGCATCTTCCAGATTTTTAGCTCACCCTCAGTTCGTATAGATGCCATCCACCATTAGGTTAATTTTTTTCTTTTCCTTCAAGTATTGATATTATTTTTATTTTTGCCGTGTATTGACCAATGAAAAAGAACCAGTTTTGATCTGTACTTTGAAATGTATTGCAAACCTCAATGTATAATGTAAATACTGTCTCTCCATTCAGTGCCAAGTTTATCGGAACTGGACCTGTACATGACCAACGGAGATCTTCAGCGGTTAGAGGAATTCCTCCACCACCAGTGCGAGGCTCCATTGATTGCAGACATCCTGCCCTCCGTTGCAAGGCTCTACTTCCTCTCCAAGATCCCAGACTTTAAGCTAAAGCCAGTGAAAGCAGTAAGGATTTCTTTACATTTTTTTTTTTTTTTTAATTCTTCATTCCATTTATAACTTGTTGTAATTCTAATAGTTTTTTTTTTTTAATCAGTTGAATACATCATGATCAGAAAATAAACACTAAAATCAGTAATTGATTCTTCGTATGTTTGTGTCACAGAACCTGGTTTTGTTGTTATATTTGATGTTATTGTTATCATTATTTTTTTCTTTATTTTTTTTTTCTTTTTGCTATTTATATTTCAGACTAATAGTTAACAACTTGTGCAGTTCCTTCTTAGCCTTAAATTTCTTTATTATCAGCATGTATATTGCACTCGTTTCAGGCCATCTTGTGCGGAATCGGCATCCAGAGGAAAACCCCGAAGGTAGTTGCAACTGAGCTTGGCGTTGAACCGGGGCTTGTCTTCGGCCAAATGCGTGAGCTAATAAATGACATCACAAAGTATATGGCAAGTGTTGTATGTTCTTTCTGTTCTGAATGATCAAAAGGAAGTTATACCAGTTATTCCTTTTACAGGCCACTTATTTGTGTGCTTTTATTTAGTTATAAAGGATTAATTAGCTTTTGTTTTTTAATTATGGATTGTGATAAAATTTTGTATGTTGTTTTATGCAAACATTTTAAGATTCTTATTATCAAATTGAACCTTTTTTTTTCTTCTTCTTTTTTCTTTCTTTTCCTTTCTTTCTTTCTTTCTATCCACTGTAACTTGTTTTTCATAAATCTGGTGTATTATAGAGAAGGCTTGTGGATCTGTTTCTGTTCCTTTTTACAATCGTATTTAGGAGACTCACATTTAGCAGTTATGAACTCTTTAATGAATGATCCTCCTCTTCCAGAAAAAGACGAGAGAAATTGCCCGTCAGGAAGAGATCAACGGAAAGGAGAAGGAGAACCACCAGTCTCTTGCGGCTGACATTGCCTCTACAGTTGAGGAGACAGCGAAGGTATAGTTGGGGGGAAATGCGTTTCCGTAATTCATAGTGACCGTAGTTCACGTTTTGTTTATCTCTTTATTAAATGTATTGAACCAAATTAAAGGGATCCAGCCAGGATATAACGTTGATTCATTCATTTTCTTTATATATTTTTTTGTTGTATATTTATGTTTTTAAGTCACTCACAAAGCACACAACCATGTCATTTGTTATGTTGTTGTAATAGGTCTTAGTCTCCACAGTGCTGCATCCTGTCCTTGCACCACTCTCTTTATTGTTGCTCTGCCTCTGTTTTTCTGTCTTAAATTTGCCCTTTCTGATTATTTTCCCTTCGTTCAGAAAATGAAAGCACAAGAAGAAGACAACCGAGAGAAGGTCACCCAGCTGATTGATGTCTCCAAGTTCGGCATAAAGGCTAAGGAAGAGGCAGTGAAGGTGGAGAGTGACAGGTGAGGAAATGATTTTAAGAATTATGAATAAGTGGAGTATTGAATAAATGGATTGATGTACAAAGGACGTGGAAGAGAAAAAAGATAGGGTGAACATTAATAATTGTTGAAATTTTATACTTTGTTGCATTAGTTGTATTTCTTTAACTTTTGCTTCGTTTCATTTTGCTGCTGCTCCTTCTTTTCCGTCTTTGCTTCCTCATCCTTATCCTCATCACTTTCTCATTCCCCCTTCTCCTCTTCCGCTTCCATTTCTTCTTATTCTTACCCTTCTTTTTTTCTTCTTTTTTCCTCCTCCTCCTCCTTCTCCTCCTCCTCCTCCTCCTCCTCCTTCCTCCTCCTCCCCTCCTCCTCCTCCTCCTCCTCCTCCTCCTTCCTCCTCTCCTCCTCTCCTCCTCCTCCTCCTCCTTCTATTCTCCTCCTCCTCCTCCTCTCCATCTTTCCTCCTCCTCCTCCTCCTCCCCCACATCCTCATCCTCATCCTCCTCTTCCTTCTCATCCTCATCCTCCTCTTCCTTCTCTCTCTCCTCCTTTCCTCCCCTTCCTCTTCTTCCTCTTCCTCTTCTTCCTTCTCTCCTCCTCCTCCTCCTCTTCTTTCTTCTCTTCCTTCTGTTCTTCCTCTTCCTCCTCCTTTTCCTCCTTCTCCTCCTAATTCTCTTCTTTCTCCTCTTCCTCCTCACCCACCATTCTTTTCCCCTTTTTTGTTCTCTTGTCCTCTATTTGCTTTTGCATTTTAACATTACAATCATTCACAGTATTAAGATCATTTTTTGTTTCCCTTGCAGTAAGAAGAGAAAGAAATTACTTGGAGAAAACATGAAAAAGAAGAAGAAGAAAGGTGAATGATTTGGGAATTATAAATCTGTAAATTGTTTTATAATAAATATATAAAACAGATGATTTTTTTATATAATAGGTATATGATATGGAGAAGCAAGTATTACCGTTGAATTATTTGCAATACATGTGTTTATCTTTTTGTTTCTTTATTAAATTTTACTTGTATTATTATTATTATTATTGAATAAATAAGTGCAGATCAAACAAATGAAAAATATGCTGTACAAGATGCTCTGTGAAGCTGCTGTGTGAAAAGTTGGACCTTTTTTGTATAAGGGAGTTATCTAAAAGTATAGATCAACAATAAGAAAGAAGCCGAGGACAAGCAGGAAATTTTCAAAGTACTCAAAGAAGCACAAATCCAACCGTGAATGGTTTCTGAGAGAACAAGGAATTATACTGGACAAGGTACTGTTTTTGAGGACCTGTGAATTAAACCAAAAATACACGGGAATTCCTTCTGTTGTAACTGTGTTCTGATATTCTTCCTGATGCTTCACCACCTTCCCCAGTACCCTTATCTCATTCCCTGGATTCTTCTCCTCCTACTTCTCCAACAGCCATCTCTAACAATATAACCCATTGACTGTTTCATAACGGCTCTTTTGCCAGCTTTCCTTAAACAATTTTCCTCTTCCTTCCCCATCTACAGATACACTCCATTTCATCCAATAGCCCTATGTCCTTAACCCTTTCCTCTTTTACTAATCTCCTTTTTACTTTAAATGCATCCCCTATTTACCCATTTCCGTATCATACTGTCCTTTAATACTATAACCTTTGACATTAACGCATTTTATCCTAATCTTTAACCTGTTTTTGCCCTCTTTGCCACAACATTTTACCATAATGCTGTATGACCATTGATGTCTCAGCATTTATAGAGATGGCTCCACAGGTACATGGAGTCCTACCTATCCCTTCCAATCCTTAACCGATTGTTATCATGACCGGCATAGATGGGAGCTGAGTCCTTATGTTGGGATCTCCCTACCTTGGGCCTCCGCTCACAGCTCCCCCTTTCCTTTCCCTTTTCTTCAACCTTCTCTTCTGTCCACTTCCTTTGTGACTGCCGTGTTGAAGGGATGGAAGGCTGGCTTGGGGTCAGTCCCGAATTCCATGATCGTTGTTGACGTTGGGGGCTTAGGAGACGAGGACTGAGGCCCAATGTAGGGGATCACCCCTACTTTGGACCTTAGCCCTCGCCTCAACTAATTTTATCTGGTCTTTTCTTCTCCCTCTTTCTTTTTCCTTCCCTAAACTGTGAAAGGATGAAAATCTGGCTTTATGTCAGTCCTGAACGACTTTTGTACTCCATTTGCTTTTCTCTCTATTTTCACTACAAAATTAACCTACAGCACTCTCAATAGCTTTTATCTAACATATTTTCTCCAAATTGTTAATTCATCTTTTAGCCTTTTGCCACAATACTTTGCCATAATGCTGTATGACCATTGCTTACCTGGGGGCTTTGCCTTCAAGTCTCGCCCTATAGCTATATATTTTATATGCCGCTAATGACCTTTGATGATATGACAGAAAAGTTTCAATAAATAGATAAAATATTCTGGTTAGCTGTGTAGCCCTTGCCCCTCATGGGGACCCTGAGGCCTGGGCCAATTCCTTTCCCTTACATATTTCAGGCTCACCATAGCCAGTATTGAAAATGTAGGCATTGAGGCCTGTCCCTTCAACAACTAGTTTCTCTGATTTGAACTTTTCTGGTTTCCCGACCCTTGGTTCTCTTTTGATCCTGACTCTGACTATTTGCTGTTGTTGTACCCTTCTCTTGCTGTCACCTCGTCTCATTCCAAGTCATCCACCAGGTCATTACTCGGCCTTCAGAATACATCTTTTCCTTTTCTCCCAACATCATCCACTTCATCTCCCTTCCTCTTCCACAATTTTCTTCATTTTATGTCCTTCCTCCCTCGTTGCTACTCTTCATCCTAGTGCTACATAACCTTGATATGTAGCACATTTATTTCTTTTAACCATTACTCTTCATCCCTATTGCCCTCCCCGCAGTACTGCCTCACTCCACACCACTCCCTCTTCCTGCTGTCCTCGTCTTTCTACTACTTCCGTGTCTACAAATCTTCTGAGTGTTTTTTGTGATTTCCCCTACAGTCCCTGGGAACACACTCCTCTTCCAACCATGTCTCCAAGAACAAGTAGGCAAGGTGTCCTTTTGCAGTCGTTCCGATAACCCACGCCTTGTCAAAATCAATTACCAGTTGCATCTGAGTCCTAAGCTCGGGCGCTGTCTACCCTGACTGACCTCACTGACAAATTTATTCTTGCCTCTCCCCCATGACCTTGTTCATTGTTGTCGTGTGAGACGGAGACTGAGGCCTAACTAATTTTGTTTCAATTTTTCATTCCCTTCTTCTGTCCACACCCTAAAGTGTGAGAGCCGTGCTGAAAGGATGAAGGGCTGGCTTTGGGTCAGGTATAAACGGCCTCCAGGAGCCATGGGCACGGTATGCCCTTGGTTAATCTCTGAGCCCTTACCCCTTATGGAGAACCTGAGGGGTAGAGCGTGTCTCTTTGCCACATATTCCAGGCTCACCATGGCCAATAATGAAGATTTTGTACCCTTATCAGGGGCATTTAAGACTTGCCCCTTCATTAAGTAGCCAATTCAGATTTAATTTCTCTGATTTCCCGATCGATACTTCTTTGACCACAGCTCCAACCACTGATATTAATAACCCCAACTCGATGTTTGCTGTTAATTCTATCCATTCCAAATCAACCGCCCAGGTGTTTACTCAACCTTCAGAATACTCCCCTTCCTCTCTCCCAACATCCTCTACTCCATTTCCTACTACACAGTCTTCTTCATTGTCTACCCCTCCCACCCCCCCTCATTACTACTATTCACCCTAATTATCTTCCCCGCAGTATTATTTCTCTCCACACCACCCCATCTTCCCCCCCGTCCTCGTCCTTCTACTGCTTCCACTCCTGCAAACCTTTTTAGTAATCTTTTTAGTTCAGCCAAGTAGGATCGGTTCCCCTCACATCTTCTCAAGACGTCTCAGCATCCCTCTACCCCGAACCATCCTACCTTTACTTCCTCTCTCCCCCAATCAAATTTCTTTTTTTCCAGTCTAAATCCAGATACTCCAATCTCTACCACTTTTCCGATGCCTGCCCCTCCTCCTTCTTACTTTACCAGTCGCACCCCATCTTCTATCACATCCTCTCCTACACTCGCCTCTTCCTCTGCTCCACGGATATCTATCTATCCCTTCTTCTCCTAAAAAAAAAAAAATCGTTTCTCAGACATCCCCACAGAACTCCCCTCCAGTAACTCTCGAAGACATCCAAAACTTCCTAAACATGACCCAGGGGAACACTCCGCTCCCTCATCCACCTCCCAATCTCTCTATTCCTATTCCCTTTACATTCAAAGTAACTGCCATATCCATCCTCTTCGTCCTCATGTCCTCCCTACCCCTCTTCCTCCCACTCCCTCCCAACATACCCCATCCTCTCCTTCCCATGTGCGCCATTCTCTCTTCGTTCACCATTATCCTTACCTCTCCCACCTGGATGCTCATGTGACAATGTCCTTCGGATCCTTCCCCTCCTGACATTCTTCCTGATACTTCACCGCCTTTCCCTGTTCTCTTATTTCATTCCCTCAATTCTTCTACTCCTCCAACACCCATTTCTACCCTTATTGCCCGTTGATTGTTTCATATTGGCTTTTTTGCAGTTTTTTCTCATACAGTGTTACTCCCCCTGTATCAGACACATAGACGCTCTCCATTTAATCTAATGGCCTTATGCCTTAACCCTTTCCCCTTTTACTAATCCCAGCCGTGCTCCTTTGATCTCCCCTCTCTACCCTTTTTACTACCGGACTATACTATAGCGCTCTACAACCTTTGACATCTAACGCATTTTATTCTAATAGCTAACTCAATTTTACCATCTCCGCCACAGCACTCTACCCTAGTGCTATAACGCCTCTGATGTCTAGCACAATTATTTGCTTTAAGCGTTAACCATTAACCTTGTCCTTGATTCAACCCGCCCCACCCACTTTGACATGCATACCCAATTGTTTCCATGCCTCGATCTTACTCTTTGCTCCCCTTCCGTCCATTTAGACTTTTAGTGGCCAGTACTGGACCACTTTCCTATTCTTCTTTCTCCTATTTCGTATATTCCCCCTGGCGGTGCTTTGATACCTTCCTCTGCCTCCATCATCCTTCTCTTTCAGTCTAGATTTACCTTTATATTTCATTGTTACTATCCTGAGTGCTACCTTTACCTCCTTTCCCTGAACTTCTCGACCTTATATCTCTAAATGGCGGAACTCTGATTGCACCACAGCGAAGTCTCAACTCATTACCATCCATTTTCTCATTTTAAAAAGGATCTTTGCCGCACATTGTGTAACTGCATAACAATCGGCTGGCGAAATTGTGTTTCCTCCATTACGTTTTCTATTCTGCAGTCTAGCGTTGCCTCCATTCTCAATATTCGTGGCACTCTCCCCTCTCTTCCTCTCCAAATGGCTACTTAACTTGGTTCCCTTTTCAAGCAGGTCAGCTGTGGCTCTGACTTTTCTCCTCACTTCTCTTCCGTGAAGTCGGCCAGAGAGCGAAGTCCCATCTCCTTGTCCTCTGCCGCGTCCTACAACACAGCCATTTCTTCCTCTGAACTTCATTCCGCCTTACATTTGCACCGCGGCGCCCACGGAGGTCCCCGTATGCTGGAATACTCCCCACTACCTCTCTGATCTTCCTGTTGGCTGTCTTCAACTGTATTCGAGCGAATGGAAACATTCCTCCCCAACGGCGTTAGGCCCTTATTCTCCCCTTCTTGGAGCCCAATAACTCTGGTGCCCCCCTCAGGAGTCCCATCCCACCGCTCAAGCCAACTAGCTGCTTGTGCGAGTCCCCGGAACGGATGGTCGACCTCCGCCTCATGTGGTACCGTGAATCTCGCAGCTGTCTCTCTCCGCAGTTTGGATTCCGTCGTGGCCGAATTCCAGCCGCCTCTTCGCTCAGTTCGACACATTTACCCGCATTTTAGCT